CAAAGAAGATCGCAACCAACAAAAAATTAGGATAGATCATCCAAGAAATACATATTATAAGCTGCATTACTTGCATCAGTCCAATTACTTCTAATGCATTAGCTATATGCTTTTTCGAAATCAGTCATCATATCCACTAAGTATCACATAAATGCAAGATCTTTTTGAGGTACAAGCATCAAGAAACTTGAAAGATCTCAGTCGTTTTAAATGAATATGCTAATAAAAAAGGAAAAAATCCTTACCGGTGGTACGACCACTGGCATACAGTGAGAGTACAGCCTGAATAGCAACATACATAGCTGGGGTATTAAAAGTCTCAAACATAATCTGGGTCATCTTTTCACGATTAGCCTTTGGGTTAAGAGGCGCTTCAGTAAGGAGGACTGGATGCTCCTCGGGCGCAACACGAAGCTCATTGTAGAAAGTATGATGCCATATCTTCTCCATATCATCCCAGTTGCTGACAATTCCATGCTCAATTGGGTATTTAAGAGTTAAAATACCTCTTTTTGATTGAGCTTCATCTCCCACGTAGGCATCTTTCTGACCCATACCCACCATCACACCAGTATGGCGGGGTCGCCCAACAATACTTGGGAATACAGCTCGTGGAGCATCATCTCCAGCAAACCCAGCCTAGATAATAAACCAATATAAGAATCTCTTTATTTTGTAAACACAATGGACCGCAGGGTAAACAAGCATCACTAAATGGAAAGAACATAATAGCACGTCAACTCTACTGTGGTACAAAAAAACTTCAACCTACCTTGACCATTCCTGTTCCATTGTCACAGACAAGTGGTTGAATATCCTCTCCGTCTGCCATCTTATGCTACTTCCTGCATTGAATAATAAAACTTCAGCAAAAGATGTACAGGTCCAAAATATTACCATCTGATTCTAATATCTTGCTTCCGCATACTTAATTTTGCTCTTTCTAAGTAACAAATAACTTTATACACATGTTGAACACAAAAAGTCCCACACAAGCTAGCATTTTTAGCAAAGTTGGAAAATTTCCATCTAAATAATCACAAATAGTTAAGTATAAGAAAAGCGTGCCTATGGGAAAAGATGTTCTTAATATTCCTTCATTAAAAGTTTACTAATATTTGAGCCTCTGTTTTTTTTTCAGTTTTTCGAGAAATTTATTCTCTTTGCAGGGAAAATAAAATAAAGTCAAACAAACTGCATAATAAATTTTTAAAGAAATTAATACATATCATTATAGCTAATGATTAACCAGTGCATCAACGAATATGCTTCACAACATCGGAGTTCTTTGGACATATATAACAGCTCAGAAAATAGAATAACGAAGTTGGTCAGAGAAAGCTACCACAAAAAATCGAGTTGACGATACAGAAAATGTGATATCGGGCTGCGATGGTAATGAGAGAGTTGGGTTAGTCCATGGTCAACTACAACAAAAAAGGAAACACTAACTGGTGGTTACATGATATAATTACCACAAATTTATTGGTTGGATTTTTACCTTTATTAGGTTCAACAGATGCAGCTTTTCTCAAATCTTTAAAACTTGTACACATTCCGTAATACACAACAAAGGTCAAATTTCATACTTCCCCCCTTCTAGTTTACGTGACCCTATTTCCTTTTTAATATATAAATAATGACCCTTTTCCAAATCTGGAAACTATTCAACTTGAACTTTCCATTTTATCCTAGATGGCAAGCTTTTAAAGCCACACAAATATTATGACAGGTTTAAGATCACAAGTTTTTCAAAAAGTCTTATTATTTTCTTACGCTTGACGTCCAGTCAAGTAGGATCAAACAAAATGAAATGAGTAATACTTTCCCAAAAATGAAACTGAATAGCTTCTCTTTCACACAAAAGCTCCAATGAGACCCCAGCAAACCATATAATTCAGATCCCCACAGCATTAGATATAACATGATCATCATGAAAGGCATCAACAATCATTATACCGCACTATGATTATCGCAACAAATCAAAACAAACACAGACGATTAGAGTGCTTCTGCTAAGCGAATACAAACTACGAAATTATCAGTTAACAAGCACAGATCTATCACATTCATAAAAGTACTGACCAGATCCAACAAATCCTAATCAAATCCTAAAAAAAAAAAAAAAATCCTAAAAATAAAACAATTATATCTTCATGAATTTATCAAATTGGTGAATTTTAACCCGTGATAGAAGATTAATTACCATTTTTACCAAATTACTAGTAATCCTTATCAATCGATTTACCTATTGATCTGATTGTGTAGATATTTATCGTCATCACTCAGTGTATGCAACGAAATGAAACGAAAAAATTTAACAGATAAACAACAGAAGATTTAAATGAACGGATCTATGGATCGAAAACACAATTATTACACAAATCAATCAGTTACGCCTCATCATCAAAATATAACAATTCTAAAAAAAAAAACGAAAAAGAGAATTAAAATAGGAAATGCAAATGAATTATTACCTTGAGATTGTAGAGAGAGAAAGAGACAACAGGAATGGAATGAATTGCACAGTGGGAAGCCTCCTTCTATTCTAACCCTCTAGAAGAAAATGAGAAAGCAGGAGAGTTTATATTGAAGATTGGTGAAGAAATGTCAGCCGTTGGATTTGTGATGAACGGTAATGAGTGACAGTCAGCGTAACACGTCGTGGGTGGGGGGCTATCATTGCCTCACTGCTTGTTAGTGGTTGTCACGCACTGACAGCTCCCTATTTTATCGCTTTTTCCCTCATTTTTCATTTCTTTCTCAATTTGCTATTACAAGAAAATACACGTAACTTCACGCCATAACAAAAAATGGCCCATATTTTTACGTTTTACCCCACCTAACCTATATTGTACATATTTTGAAAATACTAACTCTTGCAAATTCAAAATATGTGTTCTTACAACCATTGCTTCTAAAAGTTATGGAGTTAAATCCGTGTTCTCACAACCATTATTTTCACTCTCTCTTCTTCTCACTTTTTTTTACATATGCTTCAAGGGGCCATCCGCTATTAGTGCTTCTCCCCCTATAGCGCCTGGTTGTAATGTAAAAAAATTAAAGAGTAGAAGTCCACCATTAAAAGACATTCAAAGTTTTGCTTTAGAAAATAGAATTTCTTGTAATTCTTAGTTGTTTGGATTGAGTGTTGTTCCAATTGATTGAAAATATCAAAAGGAGTTCAAAGTTTAAATTTGAAGTGATTTGGAGTAGATTTGAGCAAGATTTGAGTTAAATTTCAGAAAAAATGCAAGGAAGAAGACGAAGTCAGTTTTTTGTATAATTATGTATAATCTTGTATAGTAGTGTATATGAGTGTATAAACACATCGTATGCACTATTAAACACTTTTATACACCTTTATACAAACGTCTGTAGACGAACTTCTTCCACGATTTTCAGTTGCAATTCCTATTCAAAACCAGTCCAAATCTCCATTAAATGACTTCAAATTTTATATACAACCTCCTTATACTATTTCTAACAAGTCTAAATAACAACCACTCCAAATTTCTCACAAAATCAAATTCGGAATTTAAACCCACATATTTAAGCTTGTTAAAAATCTAATTTTCACCACCCAAATGGATTTGGTTTGTTGAACTAATATTTGAGTCACAATTACTAGTTCGAAAATTAACTTAAAAGCTTGAGCAATCCTTTTTAAAAATTAAATGGTAATTTTGAAAACCTATTAGAGTTGGATGTTGAATTTTAGCCTATTATTTTTGGGCTAGTTGGTTGTAAATTGAAATATGGGCTATAAAATTGAAAAATGGGGAGACGAATTGTTCTTATGTGAAATTATCCCTAATCTTTTATGTTTTTTTTTTCTTTTTTAATATTTGACAATGATTTATATCAAACCAAACAATTTAACTTTAACGATTCATTTTCACAAAAGATAAGTATCGTAATAAAATGTGAAAATATTTTATCTTATATTTGATTGAAATTTTTAATTACGGTATAAGTAATTTCAAAATTATTTATACAACAATTATTATATTATTCTTGTGCCAAGGAATGTGAATAGTAATTATGATATTAGCTAATTCAGGATAAAATAATTAAAAAAACAATTAGTAGTTTATTATTATACCAAGGAAGGTGGATGAAATAATCAAAAGACAAAATCGTACCCTCGTAGTCCTCAATCTTTGGCACAATTAGTTATCCCTTTGTTTATTATTCCTTCCATTCACTTTTAGTTGTCAAGTATTCTAACCATAAATTTTCATTTTTACTTGTCACTTTTCACATATTAAGAGCCGAAGGTCTCCCGAAAACAACCTCTCTATCCCTCCGGGGTAGGGATAAGGTCTGCATACACTCTACTGGATTGTTGTTGTACTTTTCGCGTATCAAAAGAAAAATAATTTATTTTTTCTATTTTGCCCTTAGCATTAATTACTCATTTCAAATTATTTATCAAATCCATTAAGATTATACATAAATTAATATACTTTATTTATTATTTTTTAAAGAGTGTGCAAAGTCAATGGTGAAAAGAGTGAGTCTTATTTTTAGCTCAAATGAGATTTTTTAAGTAAATAGATAACAGTTATATTTCCATGAAAACATTGCCCAAACTCTAGAAATAGGACACTCCCAATTTCGCCATTTACTAAAATACAATTTTCGAATCTCTAAAGCTTACTTTAAAGATTAATAAAACGAACAATAGAGCACACTAGGGTTATCTCTAACAGAGTATCATAAGACATCCAACTACAAATTGAATACAAAGACTAAACCTGCCTTATTGTAAAACAAGTATAGGGAGTCTAATATGTTTTGATACTTCAAAGCATGAATACAAAGAATTTACCTCTTTACTATACGAAATATCTACACTTTACCCTCTATCTTCCTTTAGGCTCATTCATACCACTTATTGTTAACAAAGCGTCTCGTATTTGTCCTTGCTTTAACAGAGCTCCAACATGAAATGTATGGATGACAAACATATGAATGATCGCAGAGCATAATAGAGCTTATAAGTAACATATTTTGTATTGCGGAGGGGATACATTTCACCCTTTCCCCAATGAAGGAACCATTTACTCGGAATTCCACATATAGAGTACGTTCACAGACGACTCAGGCCCTTTTGATGGACCAACTCGATATATAATAGGCAACACAGAGAAAAAGTTGACAAGTTGTTACACCTACTTCACCAAAATGATCACTTCATGCGACTATGTCTATATAAATCCAAGGGGTCGTTTGGTTTAAACTACTAAGAACTAATCTGTCGAAGAAAGACAATAATCAGTAAGAGATGTCATTTGCAACATCATTTAGTTACAAGTGCTAAAATTCCAACCTACACAAAGGGGTGGCCGGTGGGTGCACTTTTTCACAAACTCCATTTAATCGAACTTAAACGAATAGAACAAAAGATTATTGTTTCTCCACCTCCTTCTGCTTGATTCCATCAATGCTTTCTAATGGAGGCAGAGTCTGCAATTCAACAATAGAACACAATGTTACAAACATAAGAAAGCAGTCTAATACAAGAGGAAGAGGAACAACTAGGAGGAAGCAAAGACAGACATTATGAGCTTGTACAATAGATGGTCAATCGATAAATACAAGATAATGAACTTCTAGAAGAGCACAAGTAACTTCAACAATAATAATAACAAACCTAGTGTAATTCCACAAGTGGGGTATGAGAAGGTTTATGTGTACACAGACCTTATCCCTACCTTGTGGAGGTAGAGAGGCTGTTTCCACTAGACCCTCGGCTCAAGGGAGAAGAACACAAGTAACTAATATAATGAACTCCTAGAAGAATACAAGTAACTAATATCAAGATCTTTCATATAATAATCTCAATCCATCTTTACACTAGAATGTTTGTTATGTGCCCATGAAAGCCTTCCATAAGACCACAACCTTCGACAGTATTAAAAGATTTCAAATAACAAGATATATTTAGGACATTATTTTTCGCCATCATCATATGAACTAAACTCTTGCCTAATATAAGGGAGGTTTTGCCAATTAACCAGGAAGTACTCCCAAGTCTTTGGTCATTGCTATAGGATGTGTGTGGAAAAATATCAAGTAGCTTCATTTATTGAGATCATTCGTTTTCTATCTAATAACTGAAAGAGGCCACCATATTCATTCTGCTTCAGATTCATGATTAGCCATCTACTAAAGTTTCAAAGAAGACATGTAGTAATATATGTTTTCTGCTTTTGTCATAGATAAAACTTACAATCCAAATAGTTAAAAGAGAAATTTAGAAAAAAACAATGCAAAGTCAACAAAGAAGGGAATATGTACATTTGAGTCTCATGTTTATAGATTTCTGCATTGATATTCCCTGTAACTTATCTTCCTCATATTCGTAGACCCCAACCCAACCCCAAAATCAGATCTTCTTCTTCCACTTAGAAGGATACTTCCAACTATTAAAAATACAAAAATAGTAATATAACGATTTATACTTATCAAAAAACGGAGAGTAATGACTTCTAAGCCCTGAATGACTAAACATAGATATAGAAGGAAGAAATGACTTGTTATTACTATTTGGTTAAATCAACTTTTTAGTTTGTTTTACGGACCATGAATTCTTTTAAACATTTAAAATAAGATGGCAGCACAGTAAGATATTTTCACTTATTTTAGCTTTTTGGGCTCAACAATTTCACATCATATTATACAAAAAACACATCCTTTCACCACGTAGTTGGGAGGAAATAGGGGATGAAATGATTAGTTGATAATGACAAAGTTTTCAATAAGTCTGTATATGAATAAATATAAAAAATTTAGTTCGTAAAAACTTAAGGTTCTGTCAAATATCTTTGCATTCTTGCAGGAAACATTTTAGCTTGTTTCAATTTAGAACTAGCAGACCACTGTTTAATGTATTAAAAGCCTTCTTATGTTTCGAAAATCTAATCACTTTATGCATATGTATTAAGAATTAAATCAAATTATCAAACTTGATTTCCATTAGGTACTTCTGGTGTTTGATGATTAATGTGTTAAAAGGATATTCAGATGGAACAACAATCAACAAATAAAGCAGATTTGAGGAGAACCCTGCTAACTGGAATTTCTAAGGTCAACACATATTTACAACATAAGACAGCCTAAGATCAATGTAACTAGAATTATCTAAATATCAAAACAAAAATGTAAGTATTCTATTAAAGATATTGTTCATATGCTAATACCTTTTTTATGAAGGTGGTGTTCGGGCCATCTTACAAAGTGAGAATCTACGTAGTTGTTTTGAAGGCACTAAACTCGAGGAACTAAGTAAGTTCTTGCAAAGAGTGAGATCAAATCACTATTTTGTTCTTAATATCGTATTGGTAAAGAAACAACGTTATTTGATACAGTCATGCCAACTGCCAACAGCATTGTCATTAAGATATGCTCTCATTCTGGTTCTACAATTTGCAACACTGGATAGAATAAGTGATGTTTCGATTTGGAAAAAGTGTCACAAAAAATCATCATACGACTTGTATTAGAGGATATTTTCCTTGTGGTTCATTACCAAGATCCAATAATTGCATATAAGGTCGGATATCTTTATAAGGTTCATATCTAAACTAGGTAATTTCTTCCTATCTGCCTAAAAGCTTTGGTTGGTAGAGTTACCCGGTAACTGTGTAGATAGGAAGTAGTAGGTACTCGGGAATAGTTGAGGTGCACGTCAGCTGATCCGGACAACACCATTATCCAAAAAAAAAAAAGGTTCAATACCTTTGTAGTGCAGATTACATTGTCAATATCAATTTTTCATCCTTCAAGCCAATGCTAGTTGGCATTCAAATATAGAGAAAACTTTTGTTCTGGGACATCATATACCCAAAAAATTCATCAACATTTTGTTGCCTTACGAAAGAGGTCAGGGTGAGTGCATCTAGAGATGCAACATGCGTATTAGAAGTAGGGGCGGATTTAGGGGGGCGAACACCCTTCGCCGAAAAATTACACTGTATATATAAGGTAAAATTTGTTTTTTACCTCTATATATTAAGTTTTGAACACCCTTAACACAATCCAAAAGTATAGTTTAGTGGTCAAAGGGGTTCAAAATCTACATAAGGTCATGGGTTCAATTCCCACTAGCTACAAAAAAAATTTTTTGAACCCCCTTCGTGAAGATCCTGGCTCCGCCACTGATTAGTAGTTAACATTTCCCAACTGGCACCATTCATTAGATCGCCACAAATTCAAAGGGGCATTATATCAACCAGGTAAAAGACATAGGAGAAAGGCCACAGACTTTCCTTGCTTGCTAGGGAAAATAACCAATTAATACACCTAAATTTCATATGAATGTAGATATCTTTATAATGCAAACTGCAGAGTCAATCTCATTTTTGCATCCTCCAATTACAGTCTAATCATAGTCTAGCATAGAAAAACTTGCTTACTCATACATATAAACCCATAAAATTGTCAATTTCATAGCTACACATAGTTCAGAGAAGGCAAAAAATTGTCTTAAAACCGGCATCATTTATTTGATTGCCGCAATTTCAAAGCGGCATTCTATCAAACAGGTAAATGAAATAGGAGAAAGGCCACACTATGCACGATGTCTGTGCTCCTCCTCCTCACATGACCAAACTACCTAAGCCGCGCTTCCCGCATCATGTCCTCAATAGAGGCCACATCCACTTTATCGCGAATAACCTCATTTCTGATCCTATCTAACATGGTGTGCCCGCACATCCATCTCAACATCCTCATCTCTGCTTTTATATGGCTTTTTGATACTGTCCCTTCTTGCCTATATTTTCATTAATATGGTACTTATACTATTCCGAGCCGAGCGTCTATTGGAAACAACCTCTCTATCCTCACAAGGTAGGGGTAAGGTCTGCGTACACACTACCCTTCCCAGACCCTATGGTGGTGGTGGTGTTGCATGCACCTATGCTACGTAAACATATAAGATAAAACAACTAAATCTCCTAATACTAATGTTATTTGAAGCATGGCACAACAAGTAAACAAACTAGCTACAGCATAAGCACCAAAATTTTCACTTACTACGCTCTCAGTTCCAAACTAGTTAAGTCAGTTATATACAGAGGTGGATAGTACTTATATACTATGGGTTTAACTGAACTCACTATTTTCAACACAAATGTAGATATGTAGTAAAAAATCAATAAAATTTCAACAAATATATAATTCTGAACCCATAATTACAAGTAATTCAATGTTAAGCACCTTAAAGGTTTGAATTCATCAAGTTTAAATTCTCGATCCGCCTCTAGGAATAATAAATACATAATATTCATTCCGCTTCATTTAGGTCCATGTGATTTCACTCAAATATAACTTTTTTGTTGTGTGACAAATTAGAGGTTTCTAAATGTAAGGAGAAAATGGGAAGGGGGAGTTACCAGATCAGGTTTGAAAAAGTTGTGAACAACGGAGGCACCAGCAAGGAGGGAAACAACGACAACAGCAGTAGACCAAGCCATTGATGGAGTTCCTGTTGGCTGCTTTCCTCCTCCGAATCTTCTGTTCATTTTCCCCCTCCTTTATTATCAAGTTTTCCAGTTAAATACGATGAAGATGAAGGTAGGAGAAAAACAAATATGGAGAGAGGCATATACGGAGTGGAACAAAGAAGACGAAGAATTAAGCGGACGTTTTAACCACAACCAATTGACTGATACTCTCACCCAGCCATGGACGGAGTTGTGTTCTCACTCTGGGGTGTGGAAGTGAAGTCCTGAGCCCAACACAACTCTATAAGCCCATTTAGCCCATTATATTAGGGGAATTGACACCCTATAACAATGAGAAAACTTCATTTGTAGCCATTAGGGCCAAACTTATATCACCTAATAGCCACAAAATAACCCCTTACAAGTTATAGCCTAAAAACAATGACAAAGGCTAGCAACTGAAAAAGCTGAAACTATACGTTCAACACAAACGAAAAGGAAAACAGTCCTAATCGATTTTGTATCCTAAATTCATGCGTTCAGTATGGGATCTTCAACCTCCAAACACTATAAAAGTTTCCCAATTATTCACATTGTGAAAAAAATTCTAGGATTTATGAAGATTAAGCCCAGAGAAGAGCTCTCAAAAAATTCACGCTGAAATTCAAAGTTTTTGCACAATTGCTGCCTACAATCAGCTTAATAGAGTTGAGATTTCGTTCTTAAATTGTAAAATAGATACAAAATCGACAAACTCAACTAATGTCTATGGAGATTGTGAATGTTGGAACTGCTGTTCCAATTTTGATTTCGATTTTACTTCAACATAGTGGTGAATGGGTAAGTGAGAGTAAATTTATTAATTTCCTTGTTAATGGCGTGTTGATCAATTCGGACTGTAGCTATGATTATTTTGTTGATGAGATATACAAGCAATTGGGTAGAGATTCGATTACAAGTGCAATGGAGATAAAATATACAGTGAAGGATGGCTATATAGCAATTCCAATATACAATGATATGAGTGTGCGCTTGTATATGGAGATGAAAAAGAAAAACTTGGATATCACTGAATATCCATTATGCATAACATTGAAAACTGTGTATTCAAGTGCTGAATGCTCATATTCAAGTTCATACTTGGGTGGCAACTTACTCGCAACAACTTCAGCTGGTTTACCATGTCAGAACGTAGAAGAAGTACACGGAACTAATATTGTTGAGATGATGGATAATCATATAAAAGAAGACAAAATTGAGATATTGAAGGGAAATTGTATAATAGACAATCCACAACATGAAGAAATTGCAGAAGGTCAGTTGTATTGGGACAAAGATACACTCATTAGTGTAATAAAGCACTACACAATACGAGAAAAATGTCAATTTATAGTGCATAGATCATCTACAACAAGGTATGATTTCTACTTATGAGATTGCACTTCTCTGTAATTTTATGTATACAGATCTGTATAAAAAAATGTATAATTATTGTATAGTGAGATTGCATATGTATATTGCTTGTTTATTTGAGACACAAGTGTAAAAATCTGAAGAAATGCATTATCATAACAATATATTATATAGGTATTGTCTTACATGCGTGGATGAAAGTTGCAAATGGAGCCTTAGATCTTCAAGTCTACACAAATCAAATGTCTTCAAGGTTAGACGGTTCAATGATGTTCACACTTGCCCAGAGATGAGTAGACTATTTTCACAACGTCATGCTATTTCGTCAGCCATTGCAAAAATGATTTGCAACAAATATGCCAATCCAAAAATAATATACACTCCGGCAGACATCATGAGCGACATGAAACAATAGTATGGGATTAATATGAGTTACGTAAAAGCTTATAGAACAAAAGAAAATGCACTTGAACTACTAAGAGGGATACCATGCGAATCTTATAGAAAACTGTCGGGTCACTTGTATATGATAAATGTGACAAATCCTGGTTCTGTTACAATGCTACATAAATCAGAGGACGGGAACTTCATGTATGTTTTTGTCCCACTAAATGCATCAATCATAGGATGGAAATACTGTTACCCTATTGTAGTGGTTGATGGGACATTCCTCAAATCATCACACAGATGAACAATGTTAACAGCTAGCGCACAAGATGCGACAGGTGAATATGTTGTAGACTCGTATAATAATTATATATGGTATAGATAGTTCTTATCTGTGTATAACAAAAATAATATATGGATGCTTTCTTATTTGCTTAACCAGGTAAAATTTTTCCACTAGCATACGCTGTTGTAGATTCTGAAAATGATGCTTCCTGGGAATGATTTTTTGAAATGTTTAGACAGGCTTTTGGGGAAAGGGAAAGGATGTGCATCGTATCGGATCGTCATGCAAGCATATTGAGGGGTGCTTCGATTGTGTATCCAGAGGTATCTCACTATATATGCATATTTCATCTTTAGAATAGTATAAAGAAGCAGTTCAAGAAGAACCATGACCGGTTGAGGGAAGTATTTTTTGCAATGGCCAGAGCATACAAAATTGAAGATTTTAATCGCCTCATGCAAGATATGGATAGCATTGATAAGAGGGTAAGGGGTTACCTATTCCAAGTTGGTTATGAAAAATGGTCCATAGTGCGTTCCACTGCTAATAGATCCATGATGATGACTTCAAATATTGCCGAGTCATTCAATGCAAGAAATAGAGAGGCAAAAGAGCTACCAATCATGAGTTTACTAGATTACATGATGAATTTGGTTATGGAATGGAATAATACAAATAGAATGACTGCAATGAGTACATTTACTGGCCTAGAAAAAAAATATAATGAAGTACTGAAGGAAAATAGCTATTTGTCGCAGAAGATGATGGTAAATTATTTTATCATGTCTTACTTCATACGCCTGATTAATATACTTTGACAAAAATGCATTAATACTTGTCATATCCCTGTTTTTGCTTTACTAATGATATCTATTTAAATTTAGGTGAAGCCTTCAACCGATTATGTATATGTAGTAGTGGATGCTGAACAAAGGCAGAACATAGTCTGCATGCAAAAACAGAGAATGCTCGTGCAAACGATTTCAAGTGGATGGGATTCCTTGTCCATATGCTATGGCAGTATTGGACTACACACACGTGGAAGCACCCGAATATTGTTCTGCCTATTACACCAAGGAATAATTCAAGAAGACATATGAAATGCCAGTTAATCCACTTCCAGATGAAACTACATAGGACCTTCCAACAGAGGTGTTAGATAATGTGGTCCTACCACCGATAGTGAAGGGCAAACCAAGAAGACCGACGAAGTCGCAACGCAAGGGACTTTATGAATATCTATATACTGAAACTGTTACATGTGGACTGTGTGGAAAACAAGGACATAACAGAAGAACATGCAGGAATGCTCAAGACAACTAGTAGATGCTGCTACAGTGATTTAGTATTTTGTAACATTTTTTCTTCTGAATATTACAATTAGAATATTGGAAAAATAATGAGATTTGCAATCAGATTCTCTCTGATATATGAATTAAGATGCTACTTTTTGTCATAATGAAAGTATTGGTAGAAGTTTTATTCCAAATACTATTATGGATGTCACTATACAAAAATAATATATAAAATAGATGATAATATACAAAAAAGACTGTTACTATACAAAAAATATACAAAATAGACTATCACTATACATTTTATATGTAATATTTTGTTCATATACAAAAAAATACAAAATAAACTATAGCTATACAAAAAATATACAAAATAGAAATTGTATATTTATACAATTTACATACAATAGACTGTGACTATACAAAAAATATACAGATAGATATCACTATACAAAATAAACTATCGCTATACAAAAAATATACAAAACAGATATCACTATACAAAAACATATACAAAGGACTGTTACTATACAAAAATTAAACAAAATAAACTATCACTATACAATTTATATACAGTTAGCTGCCCCCACAACTTTGTTCACAAAACTTCCTGTAGCAACTTAGCAACACCAGCTAAATTTGCAAAATCTGTCGAAAATGCAAAACCTATCGAAAGAGATTAAACTGTATAAATTACAAAACTAAAACTGTAGAAAAGTCAAAACTACATAAAATCTGAAATTTTCATAATTTCACTATTAATTGAAAACTACACAATAAGTGGCAATTAAAAGTAATATTCAACATTAGCATTTCAAATATATTGTTCAAAAATATCCCAAACAAAAAGCATAAAACGTGATATAAGTATGCAACTGTATCCAATCATAGACAATATCAGAACCAAACTACTTCCATCTTAAAACTACATGTGAATTTTCTGTTAAACTATCCTAAACTACTTCATCTTGCCGTTCAACTTGCCCTTTTTCTTGATATCTTTCAAAGTCTCATCATCACCAACATCATGCAACTTGCTCTTTTTCTTGATATCTTTCAAAGTCTCATCATCACCAACATCATGCAACTTGCTCTTTTTCTTGATATCCTTTAAAGTCTTGTCATCACAAACGGCATGCGTCTTTCCCTTTTTCTTGTTATCCTTCAAAGACTTGTCATCAACAACGGAATAGGACTTGCTCTTTTTCTTGTTATCCTTCAAAGACTTGTCATCAACAACGGAATAGGACTTGCTCTTTTTCTTGTTATCCTTTTTTGTCTGATCCTTCAATCTACCAGTAGACTCATCATCACTAACTGCATGTCCTCTTTGTTTCTTCACTCCATAATCCCATAGCAATATGCCATATCGGTTCCGTATCCCATCAATATCAATAGCTTTAGGAATACTGCTGCCTTGAATGATGTACTCAGCAAATGCAGCAACATAAACACCACAATCACTACATATAAGGTGGCACATAAACATTGAATAAGTTAGGATAATATCCAAATAGGAATTCATGTACAAAAAATGAATAAGAATCGGAAATATTCAATAATAATTTACGTGTTATCTTGCGTTGGAAACCCATCAAAGACATGAATCTCAAAAAGGATTATTGGCGAGGATTCCCATAGGATTCTCCTTTGTGTCCCAAAAACCAATACGATGAAAGAAATATGGGAGCAACACTGAGTATGGCTCAACTGATCTCCGAACTGCACTATTCTGCTGTGCGCCACTCATGGAATCATATACATAAATGCGCAGATCCTTAAATGACAATCTCGCCAATATCCAGTGCCACTTATCATACAGATATATAGGAAAAAGGACTTCATCAACAGTAGACCAAGGAATATTACATCTTAAAAAATACCCAAGTATATACTCAGCAATTGGATCTGTTTCAGTAATTAAATTCATGTCTCTGTTTTTCTCCAAAAACTCCTTGTACAAATTCGAAATCAAGCAGTTAAACCAACAGTCAGTAGTTGTGAATCTTACTGGAACATCAACACCGTACTTCCCTTTCTTTATCAAACAGTAAAAAATTACATCAATATGCTGAAATATAACGAATATACACACATAGTAAGAAAATTACAGTATGAGAAAACTAAAAATGTATATCACTAGTTTATATTTTACAGTTAAAGCGTTGACTTACTGAATCACACAAGGGTAGGCCGGGATATGCAAATGTGAAGAACCATTTTTTTTCTCCAATATCACCAACTCCAAATTCAAAGATTTTATTTAGCTTATTGCTAGCCTCTGTATAAACACCGTCCTTGATGAATCATGATAAAAAGATATGGTTCATAACACGAAACACGAAAATAAACAAGAAAAATAAAGAAAAAACTAAATTATAAAACTTACGGTGCATTAGTCCTTAAGCCTCTATTGATGAAAGTGTTCCACTTACACAATACTCTGAAATCAACAGGAATGTCAATATTTCCCTGAAATGGATACTTTATAGTCAAAATGGGCTTCTTTGACTTAGTTGGCTTATTTTGAACAACTTGGATGGTGCCACCAGTGTCAAATGTGTTCATGAATGGTGACTTCATGACCCCTACTGGTTTCCTTTCTCTAGGGTTCATTTCAGGTGTGTCATGAACAACAACTATACGATCTTCCTGCATAGTAGCAATATTTTTCTCTACTCCTAAACAATCACCATGTACAGTATTTTGATTGAAATACTTTGGGGTGATTGCAGTTATTTGAGCCTCAGCATCACTACTCCAGCTATTGTCCTCACCAACTTCCTCACAACTATTTTTACCAAGTTGTACAGAATCATCCACCAAACTCCCCATATTAGCAGTATTTTTGTCATAAAATTTCTGGGTGATTGCAGTGATTTCAGGCTCGTCATCCTCAATCCAGGCTTCGTCATCACCAACTCCTTCACTACTTTTACCATCTTCTATAGAATCCTTCACCATACCCTCCATAACATCACCAGTTTGCTATAGACTTACCTCATTGCCAACATTTTTCTTTACAACTTCTTCAATACCAATAATTTTCTCCATAACTTCCTTACTACCAAAATTATTCTCTGGAACTTCCTTATCATGATGACCGTCATCTTTTCGATTACCCTGTTCAGAAAAAATATACAAAAGGTTGTAAAATTATAGTAAAAGGTAAAAATAACAAATAAGCATAGTCATGAGAATACTTTTGAAGCATCACGTTTACCTTCAAATGAGGAAATCATTAACTGCTCCGAAGATGAAACCTTGTTGTTTACCTATAAAAGAAAAAGTGAAACCGAATATCAATTAAGTTGTCAGAACTGCTCAAAGACAAAATAGAACTGTACCTTGTTGATTTCACTTCTCAGAAGTTTCAGCTCTTTCTCGCTTGAATTCAAGTTACTGGGCTGTGGATCCGGATTCTCATTGTTAATAGATTGTGATTCCGGTTTATTTTTGGAGTGCTTCTTAGCATTTGTTTTAACTTCAGCCACGACTCCAGATTCAATATGAATCTCATTTTTTCTTCACAAACCGGGACAAAGTCATGCAATTGAAGTCTTGTTTGTTCATCATTTGTTGGGAAAATATTACCAAATACCAACTACAAATAAATAAATAAAAGTTAGCAATCATGAAATTTAAAAAAACAAAAGACAACTTATGTATCAGAAATATATAATTTATGTATCAGAAATGCATAATTCATGTATCAGAAATGCATAATTTATGTATCAGAAAATGTATCAAAAATGTATAATTTATGTATCAGAAATGTATATTTTTTACCTGCTCCTACTTAAAAGAAAAAACTCTTTCCTCAACCTATTAAAGGTCACCTTCTTCTTTACATGCCAGTTAATTATGCGTGGCACGAGATCTTCAATCTGGTAAGCGAGGTTTTTGCGAGTATATGGGCAGCATTCATAAAACCAACACTGGAATGCCAAAGGCAAACCACCATATCGGTACATCTCTCTCCTGCTACGAACCTTATCCTTCATTGACTCCAACGTAGCATTAAAAACACTTTTCCCCATGGGAAAGTCTCAAAATCACCAGATTCAACCAACAGCAAATCATTCTTTGTTATCAAATCATCATTCGTAATAGAAATAGAAAACTGTGAATGAAATACAATACTGCAATCTTTAATGCATCCTCATCAGATTTCCACATCTTTTTTAAGAAACAGTCAGTTAACAATTTCTTAGACATTTTCGACATGCTTGGAAAGTACAATTCCATCAACCGACTCGACTAGACAGATTCATAATCCTTATTGGGATCACCATTGCACTTTAAACCTGTAATAATACAAAACTCTGCAAGTCCAAAGCGCAACTTGGTGCTATTCACTTTAATCCATAACTCATTATCTTTAGGTGACACTACTTCCCTAAGCAATAGTGAATGGATAAGTTGGTTCTGTATAAAAAATTCAGGCAAGTCCACAAAATAACCAAAACATGTTCTTCTAAACATCTCAATCTGCTGATCATCCAAATTATCTTTCAAATGTTTCACTGTACTGCAGTTTGTATGCACACTGATACGGGTACTATAATGATCACCCAAAGGAATATAGTAATCCCAAAGCTACAAACAACACAAAAATATAAATATATATAAGCTTCATAAAAATCACAAATACACACTTTAAACATTACTTATACAATATGTGGATAGATGGTATACTTTATATACAAAAGTTGCACATTACTTATTGACTTGATACAAATTATATACAATATGAAAAAGAATGATATATTTTATATACAAATCTGGAATATAACTGCTATATT